TTCAAGTACAAGTTCTAGGGGCTCCTAGAGATTTCTTAGTATTTTCTCTGTAGATGATCATTTCATCTACATATAAAGATTTTGCTTCTGCTGTGCCAATCGTAAGAAAAAAAAAAAAGAATACAAAAAACAATAAATGCTGGCAAGGATGCAAGGAAAAAAGAACCATTCTACACTATTGGTAGAAGTGTAAATTAGTAAAGCCACTATGGAAATATGGATGTTCCTCAAAAAACTAAAACCAGAACTGTGATATGATCCTGCTATACCATTCCTTGATATATATATGAAGGAATCAGTCAGCAAAGTACAGAGATATCTACATATCAATATTTACTGAAGAACAATTCACAACAGGCAAGTTACGGAATTAGCTCACATGCCTATCAAGAGATGAAATGAGTAAAGAATATATACAAATGAGTAAAGATATATGTGTGTGTGTGTGTGTGTGTGTGTGTATTATTCAGCCATAAAGAATGAAATCATGTCATTCATGCCATTTGCAGAAAAATGGATAGAACGGAAGATCATCATATAAAGCAAAATAAGCCAGATCCAGAAAGACAAGCATCACAAAGTTTCTCTCATCTGTGGAATCTAGAAAGAAAGAAAAAAGAAACAACAACAAGAAAGTAGAAAGGAAACTATTAGAGAAGAAGATCAGTGAAGGGGATACGGGAAAGTAGAAGGGCGTAATGGGGGGAGAATATGATCAAAGTATGTTAAATGTCATGGTAAAACATATTATTCTGTATAATTAATATGTGCTTCTGAAAAAGAAAGCTATGGTTAGGGCCAGGGATTTTAGCTCAGTGGCACTGTGCCTGCCTTGCAAGTGCAAGGTCCTTGATAGAGTTCTCTACCCGACAAAATGGCCCCAATGGTACTACATTCTAAAATGGCTTCCATTTCTAAAATGGTTCCTGATTCTGGAAATGAGCCACTTCGGAAAAGTGAAACCTACCCCCCTTGGAGAAGCAAAACCTAACTTGTTGCTCCACCCTGCTACCCATGTGATCCTCCCCTTCCAATCACCTGGGGTCCCATTGCTCAACTCTCACAATACTCTCCCCACTGCACTGCCCTATATAAACCTCACCCCAGTTAGTCTCGCTATATCGCCATTGTTCAAGGCAGCCCTGCAGCTCCTTCCCCAATAAAGCCCTGCTTGGGTGCTCCTGTTTCAGCTCGTTTTCTTTCATTCTGGTGCCGAAACCCAGGGAGGTAGCAGTCGGGATTTCACAATGATCCCTGCTGGTTGGAATTGATTGGCCTCCCAGCCATCCTTCCCAGACCCTGCCGGATGAGCACCTGACCATGGGCCTTCACATTTGCCATTGCTGACATCCTGAATCCACACTGGTCCCTAATCTCTGGGTGAGTACTCAGATTGGCCTCTCTCTCAGGTCCTCTGTTCCTCTCTCTCAGAAAATCCTAGCACTAGGTCAGACAGACTCCTCAGCCTGTGGCCAGGACTGCCACCCCTGGGGGACACTCTATCAGCCTGGTTCCTCTTGTTCTCTCTCTCCAGAGATAGTCAAAGGGGACGAGGATGCTCCTCCATTTTGCCCTTCTCCTCAGGAGCTATCTTGATACAGAAAAGTTTTAGACAACTTAATAGATTGAATATTAAGGTAGTTGTAGAAGCAAAATAAGTAATGTGTTCTTTTAAGATTTGCTTTTCCCGTAACTCCTTGTTTAAGGTGAGGATTATCTGACTCTAACAGGTAACTTCATTAACCTAACAAAGTTACCATGCCAGGGTGAATTTACAATGTAAATGGCCTATCTTGTGTCTGTGACTTGTAAATAGGAACTGGAGTTGTATTTACGTATGAAAGACCACTAGGGATGAGATAATGGCTAAAAAGGATATAAAAAGGGAAATGCTGAACAAAGGGAGTGCGGATACTGACCAGACTGGTTTCTGGTGTTCCTGCCCACTTGTGAGAAGAAATTTTATTATTTTGTCCAAATTCTGTGTCTCTGTGTATTTCTTTCTGAGATTTCTACAACAATCTGATACTCATCCTACACATCTTGTCCTCCCTTGACATGGGAGTCACACAATCCAAACCTCCCCGGTCAACACCACTGGGATGTTTGTTAGCTAATCTCAAAACTCTTGGGCTCACAGGTGATCTCAAGCCTAAATGCCTCATCTTTTACTACAATCGGGCTTGGCCCCAATATAAATTAAACAATGATTCCCACTGGCCAGAAAATGGAATCTTCAACCCGAACATTTTACAGGATCTTTATAACTTTTGTCAATACCATGGCAAATGGTCTGACGTCCCCTATGTGCAGGCTTTCTCCTACCTTTGTACCGGCCCCTTGCTCTGTTAATCTTGAGCCACCTTTCAGATTCTCCTTGCTCATGCTGCATCACCCACGACCCCTGATCCCTGTCCAGAGCCCAACATGTCTGCCTTCGACCCAGCAGTTCACTTCCCTCTTGCTCCACCTCCACCCTACAACCCCACCTCTGCCTCTTCCTTGGCGCTATCAGCTCCTTCCCCACAACATTCTCATTTGCCATGCCCAAAGCCACCTGACCACCTGCTCTCACTGCCCAGTCCCCCCCACCTCATACCCACTCCCAATACTCCTCTCTTCCAGCCCCTCCCACTTCACAGATGCCTCTCTGGGAGGTTGCAGGGACTGAGGGTATTGTCAGAGTTCATGTTCCTTTTTCCCTTACTGATCTCTCCCAAATTGAAAAGTACCTCAGTTCTTTCTCCTCTAACCCCAATACCTACATCAAAGATTTTGTTATTTGAGTCCTATGATCTCACCTGGCATGATATTTATATGTTAGTAACCTCTACCCTTCCTCCCAAGGATAAGGAAAGAGTCTGGATGAAAGCCCAGGCAGCACCTGATGAGTTCCATGCTGCAGACATCACAAAACCAGTAGGAACACAGGATGTTCCCTAGGAGGCCCTGCAATGGGGCTATCAGTTAGGTCAGGCAGATATTGAGGTCGCAGAGATCACATAATCCTCTGCCTCAAGGGAGTAAAAAAGACAGCCCACAAGTCAGTTAACTTTGATAAAATCAGGGAGACAATCCAGACCCCACAAGAAAATCTGGCACAATTTCTGTCGTACCTTACTGAGGCTCATCAGAAATACACCAAAATTGACCCCACTTCACAAGCTGGGGTAATTATTGTCAATACCCACTTTATATCCCAATCTGCTCCAGATGTTAGAAAAAAACTTAAAAAGGTTGAGGAAGGCCCCCAGGCTAGTCAACATGATCTCCTTAACCTGGCCTTCAAAGTATATAATAATCGAGAAGAACTAGAAAAACAGGAAAAGGCCCTCCGAGATAAGGCTACATAACCATATGCTTTCAGATACCCTATATGACTCAAGATGGGGCCCCAAACCAACCAGACCAGCCACTGGGCAAAACAGTGCCTAAATCCTGGACCGCCCCCTGACCCTTACCCAGCATGTAAGCAGGAAGGCCACTGGAAGATCGACTGCCCCCTTCTCCAAAGAGGGAGGGAGACAACTCTTTCCCCAACCCCACAAGGGCCTACTTTGCCAGAGCTCCTAGGATTGCCTGCTGAGGATTGACGGTGCCTAGGCATGCCAGCCCCCCTGCAGATCACCCATCTCGAGCCCAGGGTAACAATCCACATGTCTGACAAGCCTATCTTGTTCCTACTGGATACGGGGGGCACTTATTCAGTCTTACCCCACTTCTCAGGATATTTCCTTCACAAACCTTCATAGTAGGGCATTGATGGAATTCCCACTAGGCCAGTTATGACAGGCCCTTTGACCTGCTCTCTCCACAACACTTCCTTTACCCATCCTTCCTGGTCCTTGCAACATGCCCTATGCCTCTCCTCAGATGAGATATTTTAAGTAAATTTAAGGCTGCCATCACTCTCTACCCAGCTTCCTCTACACCCACTAATTTACTCCTATTACAAGCCATCCCAGACTCTCATCTGACCTCTCCTCTCCCCCTGCCTCCTTCTTTGGTTGACCCCAAAGTCTGGGACCTTGCCACCTATCATGCCCCAATCCAAATCTGTTTTAAAGACCCCTCCCTTTCCCCCAACATGTCCCAATATCCCATAGTGCTTAAACATTTACAGGGACTCAAGCCCTTCATCCAAGACCTTCTCCAGAAGGGCTTCCTCCATCCCACACATTCACCCTATAACACTCCCATCCTTCCTGTAGTCAAACCCAATGGCTCTTACTGCCTTGTTCAAGACTTGTGCACCATCAATGCTGCTGTTCTTCCTATACATCCAGTAGTCCCCAACCCCTATACCCTTCTCTCCCGTATCCCCTCTGACACAACCCATTTCACTGTCATTGATCTTAAGGACACCTTTTTCACCATTTCCCTTCACCCTGACTCCCAAGATCTCTTTGCCTTCACTTGGACAGACCCAGACATGCATCACTCCCAACAGTACACTTGGACTGTCCTCCCCCAGGGCTTTTGTGACAGCCCCTTCTTTGGCTAAGCTCTCACCTCTGATCTCTCTCAATTAACCCTCTCACCCTCTACCTTGCTCCAATATGTTGACAATCTGCTCCTTTGCAGCTCCACCCTACAAGGCTCACAGGCCCACACTGCTCTCCTCCTAAACTTCCTGGCCACACACAGATATAGAGTCTCTCCCAACAAGGTCCAACTTTCCCAACCCTCAGTCACCTACCTTGGGGTCTCTCTCTTTCCACAACACCTTGAGATTATCCTTGATAGGAAAAAACTTATTGAGGCCCTTCCTACTCCAGTTTCATAAGAAGAGTTCCTCTTGTTCCTTAGCCGTGCTTGCTACCTCCGCCTTTGGATTCCTAACTTTGGGCTCTTGGCTAAACCACTGTATGAGTTGACAAAGGAAAACTCCTTAGATCCTCTAGACCCATTAGATGTTCATCCCTCTTTTAAAGCCTTCAAGACTGCCCTTCTCTCTGCTCCTGCCCTACCCTTTCCTGATCTAGGCTTTCCCTTCATCCTCTACGTGTCCAAAAGGGGGATTGCCTTGGGAGTCCTAAGACAAAACAAAGGGACCTCCTTTGCACTGGTAGCCTATCTCTCCAAACAGCTTGACCCAACAGTCAGGGGCTGGCCCCCTTGCCTATAGGCATTGGCAGCTGCTGCCCTCCTGGCCCAAGAAAGTGCCAAGCTTACCTTTGGCCAACCCACAACTATTAGGTCCCCCCACCACCTACAAGATCTTCTAACACATAGAGCTCTCCCAATCTCTCTTCCTCCCATCTCCAACTACTCCACGCCACATTCATAGAAAACCCACACCTCTACAATCCTGCCCACCACTAAATCCAGCTTCCTTACTCCCTGACCTAAACATGACCTCACTCACCCTGCACAGAGACTCTCAATCATCTCTTTCCCACACTTCCTCACATCTCGTCCACTCCCATTCTAAACCCTGACTATATACCTGGTTCATAGATGGCAGGTCCTTTGTTCCCACCTCAGGGCCCAGATGGGCAGGCTATTCTATTGTGTCCTCTAATAAAATAATAGATGCAGGACCCCTTCCCCTGGGGATGACCTCCCAAAAGGCAGAGCTCATCGCCCTTACTCAAGTTCTAACCCTAGCAGCTTCTAAAACAGCCAACATCTACACAGACTCTAAATATGCTTTTCACATTCTTCATTCCCGCTCAGCTATTTGGCAAGAGAGGGGATTCTTGTCCACCAAGGGGTCTCCCATCACAAATAGTCCACTCATCTTAAGACTTCTAGAAGCGGCCCAACTCCCCACACAGGTAGGAGTTATCCACTGCAAGGGACATCAATCCTCTAATGACCCTGTTGCTTTAGGCAACAACAAAGCCGACATGGAGGCAAAAAGGGCTGCCCTGCAAACATTCCTGGCCACTCAATTATTGGCTATCCCACCCATAACTCCCCAGTATGGCCCACAAGAAAAATAAAAATGACTCCAACAAGGTGCGTCTCAATCAGGATACTGGCTTCTTTACAAGGGTTGACATGTTCTCCCTGATTCACAGGCTATTGCCATTGTGACTGACATACATAATACTCTACACATTGGCCACATACCCCTTCTCCATCTTATTCGATCCTCTTTATATCACCCCTCCCTAACTACCTATGTCCAACAAATAACCTGTGCATGCTCTATCTGTTCTGTCACCTCTCCACAGGGTGGACTCCACCCAAATGGCTTTCCCACTCACCAGGCACATGGCCACCTCCCAGGAGAAAACTGGCAGATTGATTACACACATATGCCCCCAGAACAAAAAGACATGCTATCTCCTTACACTGATAGATACCTTTTCAGGTTGGGTTGAGGCCTTCCCCACACATCAGAGGGTGCTACTCCAGTTGCACACATCCTTCTCTCAGAAATCATTCCCCTCTTTGGGCTGCCTTGCTTTATACAATCTGATAATGGGCTCATCTTTGTTTCACACGTTACTCAACCTGTGGCCTAATCTCTTAACATAGACTGGAAATTACACATCCTATACAGACCCCAATCCTTTGGTAAGGTGGAGAAAGCAAATGGGCTAATCTAGACACACCTTGGAGCTCCAAGCTCCATGGAATGAGCTCCTCCCTCTAGCCCTCATTCGACTAAGAGCCACATCGCGCAAGAATCCATTTGAGGTCATGTACAGGAGACCCTTTCTCCTAAACAACCTTCCTGAACCCGTTCCCCAACTGGCTATCTCCCTACTCTCAACTCTCTTCCACACTTCCTCAGGGCCCATGCTGATCAGTTCCTGCCTAGCCCATACCCCACCCATCACTGCCATCTCCAGGTGGCTCCTGGAGATCAAGTTTACCTCAAAACCCTCGCCACAGGGACCTTGCAGCCTAGATGGGAGGGCCCTCTAGACCTTGCCCTCACCACCACAGCAGTCAAACTTGTAGAAAAAACACCCAGGTTCCATCTTTCTAGGATAAAGTGCTTTACTTCACCCATCTCCTCTCCAAAGCCCGATCTACCTCTGGCCAAACCTAAATTTTCTTCCTTCCTGACAGGACCCACCAAGATCAAGCTCACTCAAATCCCTGAAGAATAAATAATCCTACGTTGCCCCCTCAGCTGATGTCTCACTTTTCTGACTGTATCCTCAAGCTACAACAAGACCTTCATTGGTTTGTCCCCCCACTCCCCAAGGTAACGAGATTGAAGAGGTCCTCCTGTGGATTGAGGACCACTGCTTTCAAGGCACCTTTTCGGATTTCTCATCAGATGAGGTCTGCTTGTTAACATTTTTTCTCTTATGCTGGCTAATGTTACCCCTACTTCACTTCCATGACCTACTCTTATGCTAACCTGCCATCCAGGCTTTCTAGCCATATACATAGCCCTGTCCCTTATTTGGACAATTAGACTCTTCTCTGTCTCACCCCTAGACTGGTCTTATACATGCAGATACCTCTTCATCCTTCTTTTCCTCCTCCTGATGGGACTGATTGCTATCCCATCATGCTCCCCTTTCTTTACCCCTTAATGAAGCCCCCTACTTGCAGGTCCTAAAGGCTGATAATTTCCCTTCTCATCTTCATTTCAAGCTGAGAGACACTGCCCAGTTGTGTACCTAACTGAATGCTCTGGCATAATCTGGGTAATAGATCACAGGCTGGGGGGGTGTAAAACCTCTACATGATGGGACAAGCACTTTTGTGTCATATACCCATATGGACTCACGATGTTACAAGGCCACATCACTCTGTACTCACAGAGGCCAGACCTACCATATGGGAAAGATTACAGACTCAGATACTTATCACTGCAAACCACAGATGGGCTAGTGGGCTTGTTAGACATTGACAACCCACTGGGGAATATCAGATGGAGGGGGTATACAAGATCAGACACAAAAACAACAGCTGAAAGAGGTAGAAAAATTCATATCACAAGCTCTGAAAACACCTCCCCCATATAAAAACATTGATCTGTCTTCACTAAAAAATGCTGTTGAGACACATAAAAGGCTCCTGCACCTCTTCAACACCACTCTGCTTAGCTTGACAGGCAACCAAACTGAGTGCTGGATGTGCCTGTCACCCTGATTCCAGCCATATGTCCCCATACCAATTCCCCTTAACTGGACTCTCCCTGCTCCCCAAAATATCACAATACTAGGTCCCTTTGCAATTCAATTAAAACCCTCTACACATGATAACTGGACCTGTATAAATTCATCCATCATAAAACAATACAACTCTACCCCTTGTGCTAAAGTTATCCATATTTCTACATCAGGCATAACCTGTCTCACTAAGGGTTTGTTTTACATCTGCAACTCTGAAGCCTTTTGCTATCTCAACTCAACCCCATCCTCTCTCTGTTACCTAGGTTTCCTTAGCCCACCCCTCATGATTTATACAGAAACTCAGTTATTACAGCAAGCCTTGCCCTCACAACAGCCACCTATCCATCACTTCAACAAGTGTGCCCTTCCCACACTTCCTTTTGGTGGGAGCCGGTGTTCTGGCAGGAATTGGCATTGGGGTGGCAGGAATCTCAACATCAACACACTTCTATTACTCCCTATCTCAAGAGCTAAATGAAGATATGGAAAAGATAGCTGACTCTCTGGCCACCCTCAGCCCCAAATCAATTCACTGACAGCTGTGGTACTCCAAAATAGATGAGCTCTGGATATAATAACAGCAGAAAAGGGGGAACATGCCTCCTATTAAGGGAAGAGTGTTGTTACTTTGTAAACCAATCTGGCATTGTTGGAGACAAAGTAAAGGAGCTCAGGAAGTGCTAAGAAAAATGTAGACGAGACCTAGACCAACTACAATCTCTGCTAGGATACTTTGACCAATGGCTTCCATGGCTTCTTCCTTTCCTGGGACCCCTCACCATCCTCTGCATAATCCTGCTTTTCGGATCCTGTTTCGCTGTTTTCAAAATTTCTTTCAGGAATGCATGCGGGCCTTTACTAACCAGACGGTCAGCGAACTCATCATGGCTGGCTACCAGCCCTTCACTACTGATGCTAGCTCCACCTAATGGGACCACACCTTGGCCTAAAGCCCCCACCCAACAACACCCCTTTGCCAGCAGGAAGCAGCTACAGAAAAAGAGACCTTCACCCCTATTCCAGAGTCTGGAATGATAGAGTTCTCTATCAGACAAAATGGCCCCCATGGTCCTACATTCTAAAATGGCTTCTGTTCCTAAAATGGTTCCCGATTAAGGAAATCAGCTACTTTGGCAAAGTGAAACCTACCCCCTCTGGAGAAGGAAAACCTAACCTGTTGCTCCACCCTGCTACCCAAGTGATCCTCCCCTTCCAATCACCCTGCATCCTTTTGGTCAATTCTCAAGATACTCTCCCCACGGCACCGCCCTATATAAACCTCACCCCAGTTAGTCTTGCCATTGTTCAAGGCAGTCTGCAGCTCCTTCCCCCATAAAGTCTTGCCTTAGTTACTCCTGTTCCGGCTCATTTTCTTTCAGTCCTAAGTTCGATCTCCAGTACTGCAAAAAAACCCAAAAAACAAAAAACAAAAAAAAGAAAAGAAAAAAAAGAAACCTATGGCAACCAAAGAAATAGAAGCTAATTGAAAACCCATGCTCTTTAAAGTTCTCCCGCCAGGGCACGCCTGGATGCACTCCATCACTGAGCTTCCATAGGGTGTGGATACTCAGTCACCCAATTCCTGCAGCCTCTGCCAGCTGACAGCACCATGGCCAGTCCCTCCCCACAACATCCCTGCAGGGGGACTTGCAGTGGACTACTCTCTGAGGCACCTCCCTGTAAATCACTTCCAATGGCACCACCTTTTCCAAGAAAGACCCTGGAAAGCTCCTCGGATGTCTCCTTAGCAACTTCTCCACCACCTAGGGAGCTGCAGCCTTTGGGGCACTGAGTGTGTGCGTGTGTGTGTGTGTGTGTGTGTGTGTGTGTGTGTCTCAGCTTGCTGAGGCTGCAAGAAAGCCCAAGCCAGCAGAGGGAGAGGTTGTAAAGGGGTCAGGCTTGTGCAGCCTCACCAGCCAGGAGGGACCAAACAAATGAAGAAGGCTGCGATGGCTCTCTCCCTAGTAACTGTGAAGTGTCAATCATGATTGACAACCATGATGACTGTCACTTTAAGCCTGGAATTATTTTTAGTCATTGTTGTTATGTAGCAATAAGTTACCAGAAAATCAATAAGCAACCCTTACTTAAATATCTGGGAGGTTTGATCACTCCTTCATATGTAGTGAAATAATGTTTGTCCATGAATTGCTGAGGAAATGTAGTCTGCATGGAGTAAGGGTATATGCAGACTAGTTAGGGCATTCTTGATTTTTAATTTACATCCTGCTTCCAAAACAGATTTGCTAGCCAGGCATGGTAGTACACGCCTGTAATCTTAGTGCTCAGGAGGCTGGTGCAGGAGAAATGCCATGAGTTTGAGACCAGCTTGGGCTATGTAGTGAGTTCAAGAGCAGCCTGAACTACACAGCAAGACTCTATCTCAAAAAACCAAAAGAAAACAAAATTTCCTGCTGTGATAAAATGATTAGTGAATGAATGAGCGTGGTAAGTGAATCATTAGATGCTCAAGGTCACTCATGGAAAACAAAACAAGCACTTGGGAGGCTGAGGTAGGAGGATAGAGTCTGAAGCCGGCTGAGCAATTCAGTGAGACCTTATCTTCAAAAAATGAGAAAAAGGGCCGGGGATTTAGCTCAGTGGTTCTGCCGCCTGCCTCGAAAGCGCAAGGACCTGAGTTCGATCCCCAGTACCAAACAAAACAAAACAAAACAAACACAACAACAAAAAAACCCCAAACAAACAAACAAAAAAAATGAGAAATAAACATCTACCTTCCAGCTCAGCCATCTTTTTGTTTTGGCCAGTAACCTTGGAGTGAGGTGACTTTATTAGTGTAATTGCTGCTAAATGGTCAGAGAAGAAAGCCATTTAGCTTTTCCTGAAAGAGACACTGAATCATTTTATAACTAATAAAGACATAATTCTACTTACTTCAGCAGTAAAAGCTAGAACAAGGGGCTCAATCAGTGTATTTCATAAGGTGATTCATTGATTCCTGAGATAGGAAGAATTTTGACTCTTAATCCCAACCTTGGCTCTTAGCCTAGCAGTGGTGGCAGAACCTATGGCACATGTGCCACAGTTTGTATCACTGAAAGCTCTAAAAGTTCACCATCACTGGCTAGAGGAACACAAACAAAAGTGCCATTCTCCCCACTGGATCTGTAGGATTCAAATCTCCCAGCTCCCTCAGCTCTCCTCCCTCTCACTCTCCCCTATCTCTTCTGCTGAAGGTGGTGTGGCTTTTAGCCCTGATATACTCTGAGTGTCTGTCTCTCCTCAGAGTCACACTCTGAAACTCAGTCCCTGAGGTGATGGTGTCACACGGTGGGGTGTATAGGAGATTTGCTCTTGAGGGCTCCATCTTCATGACGAAGTTATGCAAGTGGCCCAGGGAACACACTTGCCCCTTCTGCCATGTGAAGAGACCATAAGAAGAGCCCTCTGTGACCCAGGAGGGAGCCCTCAACAGACACAGAACCTTGACCTTGGACATTCCATCTTCAGAACTGTGAGAAATAAATGTATGGTTACAGACCACCTCATCTGAGGTAGTTCATTACAGCAGCTTGAACTGAGACATCCCCTCAGCAAAACCATGGGAACCCCTCCTCTGTACACTACCAGTGAACAAATCAGGCTTAAATGCCTTGAAAAGTCTGCTTTTATCTTCAGGTGGCTTCACAGAGCAAGTGAAGTTTGGCTCACTTGGTCACATAGGTCACCTCACACATGCATAAGAATGTCACACAAACATGTGGCTTATGCATTGGGAAGCTCCAATTGCATCTCAGTCACCCTCCTTTATTTCTGTATGTCTGGGGAATTCTTGGAATTCCTAAGAGGGGCACATCACCCACATCTCTGCTATTTCATGGATTGGCTTCTACCACTTTTAGGCTTAAAAAAATATTGTATTCTTTCACCTAAAGATCCAAGACAAGTGTCCCTTCAAATATCTTACATTTTAATGATTTAATGAATGCTAAGGGGCTCTGACGAACCTGATCCTTGCAGGGAAATATAGCCTTTAGCACAGAACACATGGATCGCCTTTGTGGTGCTGCCAGAATGTCAAGAGAGACAGTTTAAGCTAGGAGGTGAGGGCTTCAAGGCCCTGAGGAGGCAGAGTGTGCTGGTGCCCCTGCCTGGTTCACTATGGATGATGCCTGCCAACAGAAGAAATGTGGTGAGGTGTTAAGAGGCAGGAGGAGGGTGTCCAGCGATTGCTGTCTGAACCCCCATTCCAAATCCTTGCTAATTCGTGAGTGGGCCCAGGAGACCTGTTTCCGGCCTTCATGGGGCTCCCACAAGTATTGTCACAGTACTCATGCCAATTCAGTAGCCCCAAGGCCATGGCCAACTGTCTCCAAGTCTCCTAGTTTGTTCCAGGAAATGGCTTCTCTAATCGTTTCTCAGTCCCAGACAGAAGGCCTGAGCATCCTGTTTAAACAGCCAAGGGCTTTCTTCCTCTTTTCCTGGTTTGACTTGGCTGTGGGAGGCTAGGCAGGCTTCTGTTTCCTGAGGGGCCACTCACATCATCCCTCAAGTTAGGGAGAACACAGAACCCTTCACAGCCTCACTAGAACAGACATTCAGTCTCTGAGAAAATAAGGAATTCAGGGACCAGGCTTGCCTTCTTTGTGGACTGAAATGAATGTTTTATGTGTGGGACTGCATAACCTGTGTTCCTTTTCTCCAGCCCCATTGTGATTAAATGTGAGTTAATGGATAAAGATGCTTGTTAGTTTTGGGACACTAGATAAAAATCTGTAACAGACCTAAAGTCCCAGAGTAAACTACTCAACTCCTTGTTTGTTCCGGGCACCACAATTTTTAGAACAAGCTGCAAATGTCTGCTGACCATCAATACGTGACAGTCTACCACTAACCTTTGTCCCCTTTTCTTTAACTCTATATGTTAACTTCCCCCTCAACCCCCTATAAAAACAGCCTCGGATTCTGAGCCAGTTGCCTCTCTAAACTATTTTGCTTTGGGAGTGCCGTCTGGCCAGAATAACAAAGGTCTGTTTTCCAACTTGTCCGGTGTGTTCCTTCCCGGGTGTTCTTCGCTGTAGTCAGCTCCCTGGAGCGTTTGGTAAGGGTCTTGGTCTTACATTCTGAAGGCACCGCTGGGATTCCTGGGTGTGCTTCACTAGTCAGCTCCTCGGAGCGTTTGGTAAGGCCCTTGGTCTTACATATGTGCATCTGGCCAAAATAAGGATCATTTCTGATTCCAGGTTTACCTAGCTGAGTTTAAATTGGCTTGCTATTGGGCCTATGGAAGGCTAAAAAGAACTGGTCTGTCCTCAGAGGCAGATCTGTATTGCAAGTTTGTTCCAGAAGCCCAAAATTAAGGTCCAGTTTATATTATTATGCAAATGGACCTGCCAAACAACACATCCAGGTAAAATGTAAAATACTTGTGCATAGGAGATAGTTGGGATACAAAGCTTGTATTTATTTAAGACTTCAGGAAATGCTAAATAAGACCCCTTCTGTGGAATCCCTTGAGAAGTAATTTAAAACTGGGTATGGTGGTGTATGCTCATAATCCTAGCTTCTTGGCAGACTGAAGCAGAAGGATTACAAGTTTGAGATTAGCCTGGGCAACTCAGTGAGTTCCTATTTGAAAATATAATTTTAGAAAAGAGTGGAGATGTAGCTCAGCAGTACTACTGGGCTTGCTTAGTATGTAGTATGAGGCCCTGGGTTCAATCTGCAATACCATAAAAAAAAGTTTAAAAATGTGGAGCAAGGAGTAAAGGTTCTAAACACTCATAAACTAGGAACTTTCTACCAACACTTACATGATTTTTCCTGGTGATTTTTTACAATCTTGTTTCTCTGAGCACAACTGCATTTCCCAGGAAGATAAGCTCCTGGTCATGGCAGGGAGGGGAGACAGTGAAATGAAAGTACTAGAGGATGGCACATGTTCAATTTTCATACCAGTGATATATACATATATTTCTATTTATATATTTCTATTACATATAATGAAATATATATAGAAACATAAAGTGCATCTATATATGTGTCTGTATACACACACACATATAATATATATTTGTATATATGTGAATGGTATCATGATGTCAAACAAAGTTTAAAAAAAAAGTGAATTGGAAGACAGGTTAATTGATATCATTCAGTTTGAGGAAGAAGGAGGAAAGAAAGAAAAATAGAAAGGCGGGGGAGAGGATCTCAGATACCTGGTGAAGTCATCATTCAGCATGAGGAGAGTTCCAAAGGAAAGGACACACAAGGCAGAACACTTGAAGAAATTGTTAGGTATTCCGAAACCCCCGCAAGAACAAGCTCCCTCCTCCCCCCTCTCCCCTCTGTTCTCCTCCCATAACACCAAACAGGGAACTTCCACATAACAAGGGCTCGACCCCTCCTAGTTAATGACCTCCTGGAGCCTGTCACTCCATCCCACCAAATGTTCCCATAAGACAGG